GCACGTCATGACCGTTGCTTTTTGTCTTCGTGTTACTCTTTTGTCAATCTATACTTCACGCCCTCCTGACGTTGACATACAACTAGATGTTGTAGATGGTTGGCGGGTGCTGCCCTGAGGTGGTTGCTTCCCTATTTCCTATCAAACATCTATAGTTCTTATCTCTCATCCTTCTTCCCTTTGCACGTTACTTGCAAGCAACAAACCAACCAACCAACAAACAGACAAACGTAGTCTAATAGGCTGTTGTCCAACTGTAACAGTAGGCTCTTATAAATACTATGACCTATTTGTATTGCAAGTGCCGTTAAACTCTTACTAAGGTTGGCGGGTGCTCTGGTGTGGTTTGCTTCTTATTTCCTATCGAACATCTATCGTCTTTATTTCTCCTCCTTCTTTTTTGTGTTTGTTACTCTCTAGTAACACCTCTAATATTCGACACCTATATGACCTTATTGTGTTGCAATTGCCGTAAAACACTTACTAAAACGAAACAAACTCTTACTAAAACAAACAAAAGAGCTATTTTCGGCACTTATATGACCTATTTGTGTTGGAAGTGATGTAAAACTCACTCGTACCATTATTACTAAACTGACATAATAAACTAACTGTTCGTTCCCTGTCATTGTCCACAGATGGTGGTAGCCCCAGCCTGGGCTCAGGTTGCCAGGCTCCGGGTCTGTTCCGCTGCCAGGCGGGGAAAGGCGTGCCGGCCAAGTGTATCCCCCAGAACTGGCGCTGTGACGGGGACAGAGACTGCCCGTTGGGCGAGGACGAGACAAACTGCAGTGAGTCGACTACACACTATTTTCTTTTCTCTACTTTCTTTACTCACTTTTCTGTACTCTGTTTTCTAAACTCTCTTTTCTTTACTTTCTTTTCTTTATTTTTACTTTAATTAAGAAAAAATTATCTATCGTTATGACTATGTTATGATTGGTTGATGGATGCTCTGGTGTGATTGTTTTTTCTTTTCTTTTCAGACATCTGTTATACCTGTCTTTCCATCTATTTTTTGAGTGTGTGTCTGTTGCTCTCATGTAACATTTCTAATGTTCGGCACGTATGACCTAATTGTGTTGTGAGTGCCGTAAAACCCATACGAAAACTTAAACGCCTGTTGTCCCTATCTTTCCTCATTGTTTTCTCTGTGCGTTGTTTTCTATCGGTATTTCTATGGCATATTTGTGGTGCAAGTGCCGTAAAACTCTGACTAAAACTAAAACTAAAACTCACTTTTATTGCAGCTGGTTGAAGGATGTCACTTGTCGCCGCCCCCCCCCCCCCCCCCTTCTCTCTCTCTCTCTCTCTCTCTCTCTCTCTCTCTCTCTCTCTCTCTCTCTCTCTCTCTCTCTCTCTCTCTCGTCACTTTTTTGCGGCCTCCCCCCCAACACGAGCACTAAATGATACTTATCATGTCGATGTGCTTCTTTTTACTGAATCTGACAATCTTTTGTTTCGTCCATTCTTTTTTCTTTTTTTGTGGCGACCGTTCATCCCTCGTTCAATGTCTAATTTGTTGGTTAGTTCTTTCGTTCATGCGTTCATTCATTCATCAGTTTGTTTGTTAGCTCTGACATTCATTCGTTCCTTGGCGCTCATATGACCTTCTGCAGTTGCGAGCGCTGTAAAACCCTCTACTATAAAAAAAAATTCGTTCCTTCGTTCGTCCTTGGCCACCTTCACTCATTCGTTCGTTCATTCGTTCATTCGTTCATTCATTCATTCATTCATTCATTCATTCATTCATTCATTCATTCATTCATTCATTCATTCATTCATTCATTCATTCATTCATTCGGTGTGTCTGTCTTTCCTTCATTTTGAAACAGATTATTGAGTATGAATTCGCCTTCCTTTCCCCTTTTTGTTTATGTCAGTATTGTCAGCCTGTTTTGCCTTTCTCCAGCACTTAATGACATCGGTATTGTGAAGATGTGGCGTGGCGTCTCTTTGCTCATTCTTCATTTCTCCCCCTCTCTCATTTCCAGCGTCTGTGAAGTAGTGGAGGCGGTTACTCGTCTCACTCAGATGGCGTCAATGTAATTCCCATTTTGGGCGAGTTTTTTTTTAAAAATCGAGTATCTCAATCTTTCTGCTATGGCATTGTATCTCTCTCAGCCCAGACACCCCTTGACAGGCAGGGTCGAAGCAGCCCGCATCCTGATCGGCCAAAAAAATGTTGATGGGGAAGTAAAACTTCTACAGTTACATGTACATTTTTACAATTACACGCGCGGGTGGTTGGAGGGTGCCACTGGTAGGTCCTACTCCTTTATTTTCCCACTGTTGTTTTTGTCTGTTCCCTCTGTTGTTTTTGACTGGCTGTCATACTTTTTCCTAGCGCTAAATGACCATCACGATGTCGATATGCTTCTCGAACGAACGAACGAACTGGTGAACGGACGGACGAACGAACGAACGAACGATTACATGTACTTGTTTTTTTTCCAACTATTACAATGACGTTACTTTCCCCCCTCTCCCCACCACTTGTCTCCCCCCTCCCCCCGCCCCTCGTTTCTTGTTCCGTCAGCCGTGGTCCAGTGCGGCAGTGAGCAGTTCCGGTGTAACCGGTCCCACGTACTAGCCTGTGTGCCCAAGGCCTGGAAGTGTGATGGCGAGCCCGACTGTGACCAGGGCGAGGACGAGGCCGCCGACCTCTGTAAGTTCGTCAAACCACACACACGTCGTCATGGTACTATAATGTACGGACACTGTCACCGCACATGTACGCAGACACACTCACACGCATGCACACACGCACACACACTCGCAGACATCCACACAAACACACACACACACACACACACACACACACACACACACACACACACACACA